TCATGCCCCTCTATTTGTCAAACTTTTTTTTAGGTGGAGTTTCTGATGTTCCCACAAATTCTGTTCCACCCTCATAGTCCTCAGTGTGAATTTTGGAAATGGCGCATCTGTTTTATCACATACTTGCATATACAATGCTGACAACCAAACACCATCATAAGGGAGAATTTTGTTTGGTTTTCATTTTTAGTGAACCAACTTAATTTGCACTGGACTGAATGTTGTTTTGTAATTCTCAGTTCAAAAATAGTCACCATATGCTAGGGAACAATTCATATAGAAGTGTCCATATTAGAAACATCCAACTCAGAATAAGACTGTTTGGGAAATTGTATATTCAATACATAGAATAGGGGAATCCTGTCCCAAAATAAACATATTATTGATTGGGGAGGAAATCACAGACTGATCCAGAAATAGGATAAAATAGATTGACTATATGGGACCAGAAGTAGTCTGATTCGTAGAGGTGTGAATTTGGCAAAAACCCATGCTGTTTTCAGTGCCTGGATTTTGCCTACACCCCTGTTCTGTTTTTAGAGAACTTTCCAAATTTGGGAGGTGTTTCAGTTTTCATGCCAGAAAGATTCAGTCCATTGCTTCCAATGAGGAAACTTTAGAGGCTCATTTCTCTGTCATTTTAGGCCTATCAGCATTAAACTTGCCTCACTTGTAGGCCACATTTACTTCTGGAAGCCTGACAACTTTCAGAACATTTCACCAATCCACTAATTTTTGGAAAATATTTAAAGTTCTTACCAAAACATCTTTTAAAAACACAAGAGGGGGGGTTGGGAATTGTATCTGATTTGTACCATCTAAGGCTTTGACTGCCCTACACCTGGCTCATTTTCATGGATTTGGCAACTGAATCTGCTGAACCATCTGAATCTGGTACACAAAATTGATTAGCAATTTTTTGTTGTTGTTGCCTACTTTCAAGTCATTTATGGAGACTCAAAGGCAAACAGGTCACAGGTTTTCTGAGGCTGAGATTATGTGACTTATCCATGATTATAAAACAGGTTTTCATGGCTGAGTTAAGATTTGAATCCTTCATGTAACTGAAACACAAAACATTTCTGCATGCTCAGAAATGGTATGAATGTGTTTTTGAACTCTTGGCTGCTTTCTGTAGAATGTTTCACCTGTAGCACAGAAGCAGAGAATTGTAATATTGGAATGGTGTTGCAAACATTATCTAGTTTACATTGCCCAAACCCACACTTCCCCACCCTGTAGCCTGGAAATTCATAGCTAAAGTGTTTCTGACATAGACAACCATGGCAATGACGGAGAACACTCAACACTCAGTGTATTTAAACTGCTGAACAGCCCTTACTACCAGGAAGTTCTTCCCACTGGTGGATGAATTTTACATTCTTGTAATTTGAATCCATGGGTTCAGGTCCTGTCCCCTTGATCAAGTCAACACAAGCATGCTTTTAACCATAACAAGATTGGCTGTCACCTTCTTGTGTTTGAACTCAGTTATATACTGGTAGATAAGGTGTGCCTTGAAATGGCCTATCGACTTACAACAATTTTATGAATTTCACAGGGTTTTCCTAAGAAAGTAATACTCAGAGGTGGTTTTGTTAGTCCCTTCTCCTAAAATATAGCCTAAAGCACATGGTATTTATTAGGAGTCCCCCAATCCAAATACTAACCAGAGATGATCCTGCTAAACTTCTAAGGTAGGATCTGGTGCCTCTAGGATATTTATGCCCTGCAGAGGGTCAGAAGAAATACAATCTCCTCTTAAGTTTAGTTTTAGGGAAACTTAGAAAATACATACATGGGTGCTACAGAAAGAATGATAGAAATATATGCCATTGACATAATTCTCATTACATTTTTTTCATGGTCCTTGAAAATGCAGTTTAAATAAAACAATCCCAATTTCTTTTGTTTCATTATAATATATGGCAGGAGGTTTTCATTCAGACCTCTGTGAGCTGAGCTATCACTTTGGATTGCCCTGCGGCACTGCCTGGCCAGAACCTTGGCCTTCTTAATAGCCTGGTGGAGTGTTTCCATGGGAACTAATAGTTAGGCATTTTTCGTCAAGTCTTCAGAAATACCTGAGAAGGAATATGCTTCCCCCTTCCTAGATAAGCATAATGCTATCTCTGGAGGTTGTAGTTTCAGGCATGCTGCACAAAATTTAGCAGGCACAGAGATGACTTTGAGATCTTTAAACATCCCAGGATTCTGGCTGTCCCTGTTGAAGAGGAGTAGCAAACTGAAGACCATTAGCTACATGCTTCTCCAAATGCTTTTCTGTACCCTACAAACCTTAAGAAAAAAAAACAGTGCCCCCAAAGGCTTCCACAATATTTTTTCAGGAAAAAATTCCCCCTAATAGCCTAAAACACTTCCAAAACTCACCTGAATACAGTCCTTGTTAAGTTTTCCCCTATCCACCAATCCCGTACTAGTCAAATTAAAATAGGAAATGGGGGAGGAGCACCTGAAATTGATTGACTTTCATTTGCTTCTAGCTTCCTGAGAACATACCATTTTCAGCCTGTTGAGAGCTTGCCAGGCTGAATATTGGCCCCCAGACAACAAGTGGTCCAGTCCTGTTCTGACGGCTTTGATATGGGAGCATTGTTAGTTTTAGGTCAAAGCACAACACGTTCTCCACTTCGAGTTCCATAACAGATAAAAACATTCAAAAGAAGACATGTGTTGAAATAAAAATAATCCTTAAAATAATATTCAAACAATTAAAACAGTTTTGGAAAATCCAGGCCACATAGCAAAACACTGCCTTAAGTGACTACTATTGTCCACCGCTTTGTGCTGTTACCTCTTCTGTGTTGCCATCACCACTGCTCCTAGCTGACTATGGAGCTTTATCCTGGCCATTGCATCTGCCTCTGCTAATCTCAGAATGGGGATCCTACATGATCAGCAAGGGGGGGGGGATGAAAAGAGGTACCCACTATGGCCAGAGATTCTGATGAAGCTCTGTGTCCAGTTAGGATGGTGGTAACATGGATATGGCCTATCCCCTTCACTGATCAATGAAAGGAAAGTGTTGTGGTGGCAGAGTCCATCTAAACAGCAGACCAGTTTGAATTGGATCTGAGCTTGCTGTCCAAAACTGCCCCTAAGCCCTGGAATACTCTGGAATTTTCACGTCCAGAATATCCCCTGACTTTGCCAAGTCAGTTTAAAGTGAAGAAACTCACTATACCAACTGGAAACTGCTGTGAAGACTTCCAGCAATCAACATGTGGTGAGGATAGGCTTTGGGACCATTGCAGATGAGACTAGAATCATCTTGATGGCTCTTGGTGAAGTGTTCCATAATCAGGGTGCTGCTACAAAGAATGGCTTGTGTACACCAATCTAGCATATTGAGACACGCAACAAGGACTCTTAAAACACTCTATCTTTGTAAATAACTATTACAGAATATTACAAAACATCAGTATATCTTATTTCAGTAGAAACCAACACTTTGGTAGTTGACACATCCTTGGAATGTCTCATCACTCAGAAAAGTGATTTGACAGTTAGAATGTGAAAATCCTTCAATCTCATTTTCTATTTATTCCTCAGTATTCTGCCACCATTCTTTACTGAGCTATGAGACTTTACCTTTTCATCCGACACAAGAAAAGCAATTTTTGTGCATTTTTCTTGAAATAGATATACATACACTTCTATTTTGACAAAATGAACAATTAAAAACTTATACTTTCATTATATGAATTAAGAGTAGAGAATCACCCCTCTTATATCGGCAGCAGTCTCGTTTTGCATTCTGCCTCTCCATCACACTCACACTCACACATAGAAACTTAAGAGCTTACAATCATCAGAAGATCAACAATATCCAAAAACCAGGAGATCCCTTGCCTTGCCCAAAGCCCCTTACATTAAAGGAGACTGGCATCAGGTTAAAACCATTGCTTTCCATGGCATTCTAATGGTTTTGCATCAAAGCCCATAGGATACAAGAGACTGCTGGTGGCTGGGCAATGAAACAGGATGGGAAATTTTTGATGGTTCCCATCACACTACTGCCTCTTTTCAAGCATGGAGAGGCATGGAGCTCATCACATTTTTCAGTTGTAAACATGGAAGTAAAGTGTGATAAGTGGTAGGAGCTCTGAATACGATTGCTGGTCCATGTTCAGAGCTCCCTCCTTTCAGGATATTTCTGCCTCTTTTTCATCCTGGAAAATGTGATGAGCTCCATGCCTCTCCATGCTTGAAAAGAGGCAGTAGTGTCCAATGAGAAGGAAATTTCTCAATGTGAGGAGATCGATTGCTGAAATTCCCTCTTTTCAGGGCACTTCTGCCTCTTTGCAACCATCGAGGGCTATGCATGATAGCCAGAAGCAGTTATAACGAGCTGGATGTCTCTCTTTGCTTGAAAAGAGACTGAAGAGTCCTATGACTAGGAAATTTTTCAATGTGATAAAGTGGTGAGACTGTCTCACCTTGTAAAATCCACCACAGAGTCCTCTGGAAGTTTCAGTAAATTATGTAATAATGTTGCTTCTAGCTACAGAGCCAGAACCTTTCTGATACCACTCAAGCAACCTTATGATACCACTCAAGAATCACCTTATGAGTAATTTTTGTGTGTGTCAGGAGTGACTTGAGAAACTGCAAGTTGCTTCTGGTGTAAGAGAACTGACCATCTGCAAGGACATTGCCCAGGGGATGCCCACATATTTTGATGTTTTACCATCCTTATGGGAGGCTTCTCTCACGCCCCGAATTTGAACCTGCGACCTGTCAATCTTCAGTCCTGCTAGCACAAGTGTTTAACCCACTGTTCCACCTAATGTATTGGCTAAACAGTAGTCTGGAGGTGTTTTGGTCATTGAAGAGGATGGAAGACAATGCCAACCTCTGTAAAAACAAGGAAAAAACATGTGTTATTTAGACTTCAGTTTACCAATAACAAAATGCTAGTCAGAATATGTAAAAAGGCTGTCCACTGATGTTTTCCTTCCATTTTTCTGTCTTTGCAGCTTTCTTTACTAGAAGAGGCAGGCTTTGGAGGGGTCCTCCTCTATGTTGATCCTTGTGATTTACCAAAGTCTCATAACCTGAGCAATAAAGCATTTATGGTATCCTTAAACAGTGGAGGGGACCCTTCAACACCTGGATATCCAAGTATTGGTGAGTGTTTCTAAACTAATATTTCTTCGATCAAATAAATGTTCCAAAAAGCTGTTGTTAAAGAAACACACACTGAACTACAAAACAATAATGCCCTTCATGTTGACCTTTTTCGGACCAGGAGCCCATCAACATGGACCACTAAATCCAGGGGTGATATGAAGTATTGTTCTTTCAAACCACCCTCAAGATTCTGTCTTGGTGTTTAAATCACCCCACTCTATTATCTTAGCAGTGACCACAGAGCTCAAGAGTGTACCATAAACACTTGCTACTTGTTGAATACCCATAGCATTGGAGAGAGGTTGCTGAACTGCCAGTCCCCTCAACTCTAACCAGTATAACCAAGAGATAGATTGAAAAATGCTGACCAATAACACCTGAGATCTTATACTGTTGAGCATAGCAGAAGACTTCCATTTCCCATTCCCAGCCTCCCTCCCTCACTGTTTCAGTATGTCTTTGAATTTCTGGTGGGGAATTGTGGTATTGAATTAACATCTAGCCATGTCCAGTTGATCAGACTCACAATATCTGGGATTCTGAGGAGATGATGTCGTCAGTCTACATCTCATCCTCTTTACATTAAGCTTTACACTAAATATACAAACACAAACATTTGTACAGGTTGTGTATCTCTTATATGATATGCTTGAGATCAGAAGTGTTCCATATTTCAGATTCTTTTGATGTTGTAATACTTGCATATGCATACTGAGATTTCTTGAAGAGGGCAACCAAGTCTGAATACCTTTGAAATCTTAGATACAGACACTGAGAATAAATTCCATTCAATTTAGTGTGGCACATATCTGGATGATACAAGATTATACTTTAAGGAGTAGGATACTTGCAGGAGGTTTTCTGTCCTGGGATCTTTCTAGGGGATACACAGCAATCCAAAAATGCCAAAATGGTCAAAAATCTATTGCTGGTTTTTTTAATGACTCTTTTTGGAGTTGAGTAACTGCTGATTCTAAATTCTTTTAGGACACTAAATTCACTTTTTCTGGATGCTTCAAAGCATTTATTGAAGAGAGTGGCACTTGCAACCTCCAACCCACAGTTTCCCACTCTACTTTAAGGCATAAATGGATGTTTCAATGTGTAATTTTCATATTATACCTTCTCCTCACCCTGGGCCCAATGTATGAGGTTTTTTTTAATGGCTCAGTGGTGCTAGCTGAAGTAAATGGCATAGAATAGATGAGAAGTTCACAGAGGGGAAAAACAACTCTGCCCCAATTTCTATGTGGGAAGAAAACAATTCTGCATATAGCCCCCTGTGTAGAGCTGAGACAGGACTGCAATGCCAGTGGGAGTCTCAGAAATTCAGCAAAAACTAGACTGACAGATTTTCACAGCCCTGTTTAAAACAGTCATTCTCTCAAGTCTCTCCTGCTTTACTGGATAAAAAATTCAAAAACATGGTTTCAGGCTCCTGTAATTTGGAAGTATGAGAACGTATAATATCTAGTGTGGTGTAATAGTACTCCTACGATGTTGTCCTTCTGTGGAGTGCCCTTTTTCTACTTTTGCCTGTCAGTGTCATGATAGTGCGATGACAGAGATTTCCTTGAAGTTCCAAACAGAAAAAAGAATAACACCTGGAGCTCAGAGTTGTCATAGTGTTTAGCAACATGGAAAAGGCCCAGCACTTATTATTCCTAGGCTCAAGCGGCCAGGACAGGTGGCCACCTTATAAAAACACCAGCCTGTCACTAATTGGGAAGGACAGGGAGCAAGTTAACAATGCATTTTTTGCAGCCAGAGGGGCCAAAATGAACTGTAACTGATAGTGAATTATGCCAGAGGCTACAGCTGAATATTGGCTGCTTGCAAACACTGCTGTGTTGGAAGATGGCTGGCAGAACTCCTAGTTGTAGTAGAGCTTGGAGTGGCTACCATTCAAGTTTGTATTATGAGCCCAGCACCTGGATCCATGGGAAACTTGTCCTACTTGCTTTTATTTAATTCTGGAATGGTTGGGTAGTGGAAACATCATTTTAATGTAATACCTAGAGGATGGTACTATTACTTTTTTATACTATAACTAACAGAATCCCCTGGTATGACTACTGGTCCAGAAAAGTAATCTTTTCAAGCTCTTGAGATAGCCACTATGTGGGCAGAACAAACAGCTATGTTGGGTTCTTGGGCTATATGGCCATGTTCTAGAAGCATTATCTCCTGACGTTTTCCCTAACCATGTTAGTCTAAAGACAGGACATATCATGAAAGGAAAGCCGATGTTGATAATATGATACGGTGTTGTTGCATTTTTTACCACTGGTACTGGGGCTAGGTGATTGTGAGATGTTGTCTCACATGCCAAAAAAAACATGGCTGTGAGGCTAGTTCAAGACAGCATAGCGTAAATATGGTGTATTCAAATGTAGAATGGCAATGTTACATAACTGAATGCATGCCTGAATGTGGCATTACATGCACACAATCGGATGTGCATGCAAATGCAAATCCACATGAAGATACACAACTGAAAACATATTGGCATTGCCGAAGTATCTCTATTTCTGGAACTACATGTCCAACCAACTTTCAGAAGAGAATGTAGTTCACGTAGTAATAGGAATCTTGTCCTTGACTTACTTTGAGCATTATTCATCTTATTTTGTGGATGTGTGGGGTGGAATTGGCTGCTCTACTTCAGGTAGCAAATGTTGAGTTGGCTCTGCAGTTGTATAAAGATTGAAGCCTCTTGTTAAGCACTTCTGTCTTCCTTTTTTAAAAAAAATTAGAGGTGTTTGAAAAATCTGTTCTATGCAAATTGGTCATATATCTTGGATAAATATGGACAAAATTTACACCTGAGTCTCTGCTTCTTAGAACATTTCAACAGAGTTGTCAGCAGTTTAAAACTAGAAGATATGCAGAGGCAGATGTATGTATTTGGTGAGAAAAATGCATTTAAATATATGTTTTGAGAGACATGATAACTTAAATATGTGTTTAAGTGAAAATGGATCTCAAAATATATATACATATACATATACAATAAATGAATATGGATTTCAACATAAGTGTTCAGCCAGGTATTGGAATATTGTTTAGTGAAGATTATTATTTTAATGTCGAGATTATGTGGAATTAATGCTCTCAACTTATGGAAAGAAACAGGTAAAGAGTTGCATGAAGCTGAAATATGGTATGTTGAATAATGGCTACATCAAGCTGAGTTACATGTATAGAAGGAAATGAAAATGGCAAGCCACCTTTGAGCTTAGACCAGTGAAAAAGTGCCATTGCAATAGGATATCTTATGCTTATATTTTAGCTAATATTATCTCATTTTTGTCATCTAATAATGTGAAGGGGCCTTTAGAATCATACTTCGAAACTGTAACAGGGTTACATCAAAATATTTGGTATGGTCACTTGTCCTGAAGCTGGAATGATATAGTGCTTTTAGTGAACCAGAAGCTAAATATGAGTCAATAGTATCATGGAATGGCAAAAAAGCCCATTTTATCCTGCATCTATAAGATCATAATGTCCAGATCAACCCAAGAATTAATGTGTCTCTATTCTGCTTAAATCAGAAATCTTGGAATATGGAGCCTAATTTTGGGCACCACAGTTCAAGAAGTTTATTTACAAACTGGAACATGTCCAGAGAAGGAGGACCAAATAATCATAGATCTGGAAACCAAACTTTATGATGGACAACTTAGGGAGATGGATGTGTTTCACTTGTAGAAGACAAGACTGAGAGAGGGCAGATTACTTTACTTGAATATCTGAAGGGATGTAAAAGAGGGAAGAAGAACATGAACCAGTGGATGAAAATGACAAGAAAAGTGATTCCATCAAAACTTTAGGAAGAACTTTGATACTTTGATAACCATTAGACAATGGAATAGATTATGGGATGGAGTGTTGGATGGAGCAGGGAAGGTGGAATCCCCTTTTGGAGTCTTTAAAAAGAGATTGGATGTCCATCTTTAAGGAATGTTATAGCTGTGTATTCCTGCATGGGAGGAGGTAAGACTAGATTACCCTTGTGACCCATTCTAAGATTCTATGACTCTAAAACTGATTCAAACTAGCAGTAAATTAGCTCAACCAACAGCACTGTAACATTGCGTGACCAGAATTGGTAGGGGAAAAAAGTGCTTCGTTGTCATAGATGGGTGTTAGCTATTCACAGCATGAAATGCCATGACAGCTCAGTGGGAAGGAATTGAACAATTTCTCAGCTTCTCAGACTACCTGACCTAGTGTTCTTAGAACTGCCCTGGGGAGTGACAGAAGTAAATGTAGCTCTCCAGCTTTATTCCTGCTCATTTCATTGAGACATTTGAAGAATGGCTTGCTGTTTATCTGTTTGCTTGACTCCACAATGTTTTATGTACCCTCCATGAAAAGTAAAGCTAATTGAAATGGTTATAACAGGGCTAGGATGCTGGCTAAAAGTCTAGACCGTATGGCCAGATTTTCTGATGGATGTAATAAATGCTCTTTGGGGGGTTCATAGAATAAAGAGTGAAAGGATTCACAAAGGTGAAGTGTGTAGCCACAAGGGGAAAAAACACCAGGATGAGAAACTGAAAGAAAGAGGGAGGGAGGGAGGCTACAAAGCTGGATCATTATTTTCAGATGGCTATTAAAATGCTTGCCTCTTGAAGCCAAAGGTTATTTTTTCCATCAGAAAATACAGCAGGAGATTCTTGGTGCCCTGCCTATTTGCTAAAAACAGATCAGATCAGTGGACACACTCTGTTCACTGGATTTGTTATTTCTGCTTATCATAAATCTATATATTGCACCATAAGGTAAAGTTCTCTGGTACTAGATCCCATCTGATCTTGGAAGCTAAGCATCATTATTCCTGGTTGATACTTAGATGGGGGATCACAAAGGAATTAAAGATGCCAGAGACTATGTTTCAGAGGAAAGCAATGTCAAACCACTTCTATTCCTTGTCTAAGAAAACCCTATGAAACTTATCAATCTGCCATAGGTTGACAGGTAACTTTAAA